GGTGTGAAGTTGAGTAAGACTCAAAACCCGACCACGGCAGAAGATAGAGAGAGAATGAAAGTCATTCCCTATGCCTTAGCCATAGGTTCTATAAAATATGCCATGCTGTGTACCAGACCTATTGTATACCCTGCCCTGAGTTTGGCAAGGGAGTACAATAGTGATCTAGGAGTAGATCACTGGACATTGGTCAAAATTATCCTTAGTGGAATAAGGATATGTTTCTCGATTATGGAGGTGACAAAAGGTTCGTCGTAAAGGGTTACGTCGATGCAAGTTTTGACGCTGATCCAGATGACTCAAAGTCTCAATCTGGATACATATTTAAAGTGGGAGCAATTAGTTAGAGTAGCTCCATGCAGAGCATTGTTGACATAGAAATTTGCAAAATACTTACAGATCTGAATGTGGCAGACCCGTTGACTAAACTTCTCTCACAAGCAGAACATGATCACACCTTAGTACTCTTTGGGTGTTAATCACATAGCGATGTGAACTAGATTATTGACTCTAGTAAACCCTTTGGGTGTTGGTCACATGTCGATGTGAACTATGGGTGTTAATCACATGGTGATGTGAACTATTGATGTTAAATCACATGGCGATGTGAACTAGATTATTGCCTCTAGTGCAAGTGGGAGACTGAAGGAAATATGCCCTAGAGGCAATAATAAAGTTATTATTTATTTCCTTATATCATGATAAATGTTTATTATTCATGCTAGAATTGTATTAACCGGAAACATAATACATGTGTGAATACATAGACAAACAGAGTATCACTAGTATGCCTCTATTTGACTAGCTCGTTGATCAAAGATGGTTATGTTTCCTAACCATAGACATGAGTTGTCATTTGATTAACGGGATCACATCATTAGAAGAATGATGTGATTGACTTGACCCATTTCGTTAGCTTAGCACTTGATCGTTTAGTTTGTTGCTATTGCTTTCTTCATACTTATACATGTTCCTATGACTATAAGATTATGCAACTCCTGTTTACCGGGGGAACACTTTGTGTGCCACCAAACGTCACAATGTAACTGGGTGATTATAAAGATGCTCTACAGGTGTCTCCGAAGGTACTTGTTGGGTTGGCGTATTTCGAGATTAGGATTTGTCACTCCGATTGTCGGAGAGGTATCTCTGGGCCCACTTGGTAATGCACATCACTATAAGCCTTGCAAGCATTGCAACTAATTAGTTAGTTGCGGGATGATGTGTTACGGAACGAGTAAAGAGACTTGCCGGTAACGAGATTGAACTAGGTATTGAGATACCGACGATCGAATCTCGGGCAAGTAACATACCGATGACAAAGGGAACAACGTATGTTGTTATGCAGTCTGACCGATAAAGATCTTCGTAGAATATGTGGGAGCCAATATGAGCATCCAGGTTCCGCTATTGGTTATTGACCGGAGACGTGTCTCGGTCATGTCTACATTGTTCTCGAACCCGTAGGGTTCGCACGCTTTAGGTTTCGATGACAGTTATATTATGAGTTTATGAGTTTTGATGTACCGAAAGAGTTCGGAGTCCCGGATGAGATCGGGGACATGACGAGGAGTCTCGAAATGGTCGATACGTAAAGATCGATATATTGGACGACTATATTCGGACATCGAAAAGGTTCCGACTGATTCGGGTATTTTTCGGAGTACCAGAGAGTTACGGGAATACGTATTGGGCCTTATTGGGTCATACGGGAAAGAGGGAAAAGGGCCTCAAGGGTGGCCGCACCCCTCCCCTTGGTCTGGTCCGAATTGGACTAGGGAAGGGGGGCGCCCCCTTCCTTCCTTCTCATTTTCCCTTCCTCTTTTCCTATTCCATATGGGAGGTGGAATCCTACTAGGACTAGGGAGTCCTAGTAGGACTTCACACTTGGCGCGCCCCCTCCTAGGGCCGGCCTCCTCCTCCCTTGCTCCTTTATATACGGGTGCAGGGGGGCACCCCAAAGACACAATTGATCATTGATCTCTTAGCCGTGTGCGGTGCCCCCTTCCACCATAATCCTCGATAATATTGTAGCGGTGCTTAGGCGAAGCCCTGCGACGGTAGAACATCAAGATCGTCACCACGCCGTCGTGCTGACGGAACTCTTCCCTGACATTCTGCTGGATCGGAGTCCGGGGATCGTCATCGAGCTGAACGTGTGCTAGAACTCGGAGGTGTCGTAGTTTCGGTGCTTGACCGGTCAGGCCGTGAAGACGTACAACTACATCAACCGCGTTGTGCTAACGCTTCCACTTTCGGTCTACGAGGGTACGTATACAACAATCTCCTCTCTCGTTGCTATGCATCACCATAATCTTGCGTGTGCGTAGGATTTTTTTTGAAATTACTACGTTCCCCAACAATGGCTTGCCTAAGCAATTGCATGAATCAGATCCAGTTCTCATTTGTTTCAGAATCGAAAATTCCAAAACAAAGTGGATACATCCAATTATAGCCATCTACAGCGGTAGCACTGGCAAGCTGCCCCTTAAACCTGCCTGTTAAGAATGTGCTATCTACTGCCAAATACGGTCTGCAACCACTAAGGAATCCATCTATGCAAGGTTTCAAAGAAAAGAAGAACCTTCTAAACCTGTTTTTTTTTCTTTTATAGTGTAATGATCAATCTGCACTATGCTACCAGGGCAAGAGATTTCAACTTGTGATTTAAACCTATACAAATTGTCAAAGCTGCTATCCCAATCACCATATAGTTCTTTGAGAGCTAGCTTCTTACCCATATATACCCTCTTGTAGTGGATGTCAACCTTGTCGTGTTCTTTAATCTTTTTGCGCAATGCCTTCGCTCCGAGAGTAGCATCTTCAATCAGCCAATCCTTCACCTTATCACATATCCAATACTTGGTTGCATTCTTCATCTTCTTTTTCCTTCTTGTACTAGAGCAATCATGACCACATGGGTTTTTCTTCACCTTAAAAAGAGAGATAGAGGTAATTAGCTAAAAACACTTGACAATTATGCAATAAATGTTCACAAATGAATAGAGTTAAACAATTACCATTACGGTACACTTATCCTCCGTCGTAGAAGCATGTATCCTCCATGGACAATTATCAGCATCTCGTCTTGAACAATAGCCCCTAAATCGATGGGGTGTACTATACTCGGTGTTATACTCAAATTCATGTTTGATTGCATGCTGAGAAAGTGCCAACTTGAACTCTTTCATGCTGGGATATGTAAATCCTTTTGTCATTGGAGGGTCTAATTTGTCATACTCTACATGTGGAGTATGCTCTGCCTCATGCAACTCCTCATCCTCCTCTACTTCATCATCCTCTACTTCAGACTCCCCTACTTCATCGTCCTCTACTTCAGACGCCTCTACTTCATCATCCTTTTCTTTATTAGGACAAAGAACCACATCTAAGGGCATAGGTTCATCCACTTCATACATATTCTCCTCATCAACACCAACATGCTCATTCTCAGGTCTTGGGTTGCGAAGGTAAGTATCATCCTCATGTTCTATATTGCTGTTAGGTTCATCCCACTCGGTGATAGGCTCATATGGCTCCGAGGGATCACAATATGCAATAATCATATGTAGCATCTTTGTCTCCGAGTGTTTTTCAAACATAAGCATCAAATCTTGGTCAGATTTTACTTCTGGACAGTTTTTAAGAGCATAGTCATAATATTGCACATGTGCAACTTCCAAATAACGTGGCGGGTACTGCTCTACAATTGACTCGACCAAATCCTTATAATTTGTCAAGTCACAATCGATGACCTTCTCAAAACAAAAACATCTTATGTCCTTTCGAGCTTTCTTTGGATTGCCAAACAATTTAATTTTGAGCAAATAACTCGAATTTGGATCCATCCTGTGAATTAAAAAGACAACTTTAAACTTTGCTTTAAACCTATGCATGAGTATTGCTAGACAATCTGATCATCAACCGAAATTAAGTGAAAAGATCTCTTCCTCAAATACACAGCTACACAAACTAGCACAATCATGATAATTGCTACTAGATGGACTGGCCCTTACCCATCTGGACACGCCCATGTTGCTGGCGGCAACTGAGTACCGCCCTGGCCTGAAGCTGCTGCCAAGAACGACCCAGCCGTGCCCTCGCCGGAGACCCCAGCCACTGCCGCGCCCTGGCCCGAGCCAGCTACAGCCGAGCCACCGGCCAGGCCCGAGCCAGCTGTAGCCGAGTCTCCGGCCTGGCCCGATGCTGGCTCAACCCCACCGCAGCCCGAGGCTAGCACGACGCCCTGGATTGACCTGACCTCAGCCCCGCCGGCGCCATCGGCAAGCCATGGCACGTCCGCAGCCGCGCCATGGCCGTCGTCCGCGGCGCCGTCTCCATCCGCAGAACTGCCGCCATCCATAGCCCTCCGCCGCCGCCGCTAAGCCTGGGAGGTTCGCTGCCGCCGCCGCCTCTAGGGTTGGGAAGAAAGGGGATGAGAAGAGTCGGGTCGGGAGAGAATAGAGAGACCGGTTTGGTCTCTGTTTTTCTTTTTCCTCAAAGGGGTAATTTCGTCCAACGAGAAAATACTGACATCAGTCAATCCAAATCTTAACGACATACGCTAACGGACTTGACGGAAGTGTTAGAAAGGTAAAAAAAATTACACTTGATGTTATTTAGGGAAGATTTTTTTTAGTGTTAAATAGGGAACCAATATTTAAAACAGTGTTATATAAGGAATTTTCTCATGTTTGAAAGCCGTTTGAAGACCATGATAAAGAAGGCGGAGAATTCGGGCGGCAATATAATTCTCTTCATCGACGAGATGCACATGCTGATTGGCGCCGGTGATAAATGGGGAAGCAATGATGCTGCTAATATTGTGAAACCCGCGTTGGCCCGTAGTTGTATCCGCTGTGTGGGCGCGACAACTTTTGATGACTACCGCAAGTACATTGAGAAGGATGCAGCGCTCGAACGGCGGTTCCAGAAGGTGCATATTGAAGAACCGAGCACGCAGGCGACCATTGCCACTCTGCGGGGCATAAAGCAGCAGTATGAACGGCACCATAGCTTGGAAATCCAAGATGCCGCTATTGTTGCTGCTGCAGAGCTCGCTGGCCGCTACATCACTGGTGAGGAATTAATTTACTCGTATTGTTTCTTGAGGTGATCAGTAGAAGCATAACCTCACCTAGCTACTTAGGAAGTACTCCCTCCGTATCAAAACATAAGATGTTTTTTGACACTGTCATAGTGTCAAAAAACGTCTTGTATTTTGATCAATGAAAAAAATAGCACGCTACAGCAAAATAGCGGCGACCTTAAAATATGCTATTAGCGTGCTATATCGCGTTATAGCGTGCTATTAGCGAGACGTTGTACACCGATATATTTAGCGAGGCAATTCTCAATACGCTATAGCGTGCTATTAGCGATGCTATAGCGCGCTATTTTTTTCAGTGATTTTGATACAGAGGGAGTATGACAAAAAAAAAATGCATGCTTAATTGGTCATGGTCAGATGCCCATCCCTGTTGAGGTCTACTAGCTCATGTGCCTATCCTTGTTGAGGTTTACTAGCTCATGTGCCCATCCTTGTTAAGTTTTGCTATCTACGTGAAGGTTTGATGTGCACTTCAAGGGCAAGAATGATCACATTAGAGCACCATGGAGTAACTATGTTACCTTGGATACATGAAGCTGAAATAATCTATGAATCTTGTTTAAGGTTCTAATTAATCCGTGACAGTCATATGTATGAATTGACGGGGTAACCTGAACTGCAATGTTTCTTCTCTGCCGAGTTGCATTTGTCAGTGGCAAGAATGGCTAATTGGCTTTATGTTGTAGTACAATATTAATGGGTTTTATCGCTGGGTGTATTTGTAGGTCGTCAATTTCCTTGTAAGGCTATTGATCTGATTGATGCGGCGTGTGCTACTGCAAAGAAAATGATGCAGATTGACAGTCAAGAAAAGGAAGAGGACACTGTGAAGAAAGCAATTGTTGCACCAAATCATGTCGCACAAGTGAGCATTCTCTTCCTAATGACTTTTGTGTACCATTTTGATCAATGAGATGTGTTTTTCATGCAAATTCTAACTTCGTCATTTGAAGGCTGTGCGCCGATGCACCGGAATTCCTGTCTCTACGCTTGATCAAGAGGAGAAGGATAGGTTAATCCACCTAGCGGATAGACTTCATGAGCGAGTTGTTGGCCAGGATGAAGCGGTAAATTTGGTTGCAGAAGCAGTCTTACGTTCCAGGGCTAGCCGTGATCAGCCTGGCCAACCCATAGGCTCGTTCCTCTTCTTAGGATTGACTGGTGTTGGAAAGACAGATCTTGCAAAAGCTCTTGCCGAGCAGCTATTCGACAGTGAGAAAATGTTGGTTCGCATTGACATGTCTGAATATGTTGGGTTTGGAGCTGTGGCGCGCCTAATTGGAGCTGCACCAAGGTTTACTTTGTATATTGTATGCTCATTACGTTATGATATCAGTATGGATCTTTCATTTGACTGATGTTAATGCTTCTTTTATAACTTCTTAAAGCTGCATTGCCTATGATGATGGTGGACAACTGACTGAAATAGTGAGGAGGCGCCCATATAGTGTCATCCTTTTTGACGAGGTGGAGAAGGCAGATCCCTTGGTGCTGAACGTTTTTATTCAACTTCTTGATGATGGTGTTCTGACTGATGGCAAAGGCCGGACCGTAGATTTCAAGAATACTATCATCATTATGACCTCAAATCTAGGAGCAGAGCACCTAACAGCTGGAATGGCTGGAGAAAGCACAATGGAAGCTGCAAAGGAGCTTGTGATTAAAAAGGTTTGTGAATACCATATTTGCTGCTGTTAAGGCTCTATACTAGTGTGACCTAGTAGCTTGTGATGAAAAAGGTTTGTGAATACCATATATATGACACATCAGTAGGTCACACTAGTAGGTTCACAAACACTTTAAGCCTGAATTTCTGAACAGACTGAGCGAGGTGGTGATATTTGAGCCACTTCTGCATGACAAACTGAAGGAGATTGTAAAAATTCAGATGAAAAGTGTCACTGCAAGGGTAGCTGCCAAGAGCATCTCTCTGTCTGCAAGCGATGCTGCGTTGGACGTCATATTGTTGGAATCATGCAACCTAGTAAGCACAGTTTCTTTTCGTATCAAAATAATTAGGTCCTGCTTTCATACCCTCTCCTGTCGGTCTGTCTGCCTGTCTGTATGGTTTGGTAACAATGCATATGCATGCTTGGTGTCTTTGCAGATGTATGGCGCAAGGCCCATAAGGAGGTGGGTGCAGAAGAATGTGATGACAGTGCTGTCCCGGATGCTGCTCAAAGGTGAAGCCGTTGAAGGCTCAACTATCGTCATTGATGCTACGGATGACAAAACGGGGCTCAAGTACGAAGTGTTAAATCCACAAGGCAAGAGTCCAGTGGTGGAACTTTCCTGTGACAAGACAAAGGTGACATAACCCCTAGTAGCTGTTGTTTTATCGCTGAGTGCCTGAACTCCATAGCCTTGCTGAACACAAATAGCAGAGGTAGAAGAAGCATGTAAATTGTACCAAAGGCAGAATGCATGCCCGACTTGGTTGTAGCCACACCATGGCAAACACCCTTGAACGTTTCCTTGGTAGGAGGAGATCCGTAAATTGCCAATTTCTTACTAGTATCTTATAGACACCATGTATGCCTTTATGCTCTTAGCAGTAGCATAGACACTAACCCTGTGATTGTGTGTGATGAGAATGATGTTTAGAGGCAACAGGGGATAATTAATGGAAATGAAATTGCAGTTGAGCTATGGGCACCCATCCTGTTTGCATCAATCGTCGTTGTTGGCACTGACTGAGCCAAGCCGTGCACGCATGCTGGGCTCTCTCCTTTTCTATACTCCCTCCTTCCCAATGACTCAATTTTGTACTAGCTTTGGTACAAAGCTAGTGCAAAGTTGAGTCACTTATTTTGAGATGGAGGAAGTATGAGGGAAAGCCATCGTAGCGGTTTTATTCATAAGGCAAAATGCTTTCATCGTTTCTGATGACAGCCACAAGAAATGCAATGAAGCAGGTTCCTCTTGCCAAACACAAGGGCCAGAGTTCTCCGACTTACTAGCTAAAACATGTGCGTCACATTGGCTTTCCCTACATGACAAAATAAAAAAGGAGTATCACTAAACTCATGGCAGAGGAAGAAACAATCGTCATAGATCGTTATCACGGGCCATAGTAAATGTCCAACATTCTTCAACCTCCACAACTTCCATGCAATCAGAGTTCACAACCAGCCTGTTGCACCCCATAGAATTTTCTAGGGAAAAGGTCGCCCCACAAAGCAATCGCCTTCACCATCGTCGCTGTCAGTAACGCATGTCCGGTTGGAAGCGGCCCCAAAGTAGCCCCTATCATCTCCAAGAACAGCTCCAGTTCTCCCAGTTTTACTCCCAATATCAAAAGTCGCATATACGCTAAACTACTTTAATCCACCTTTGGTCGCGTCCACCCATGTCTAACAACAGGAGCACCGTTCTTCTTCGTCCTCGAGTAGTTTGTAGCCAATGCAGATATTGCTTGTGCAGAGCTAATGGGGAGTTGAACTCTCTCAACAGGAGTTGTCTGCCGGCGCTCCCACCAAATGCACCAGGCAGTGGTGGCAATAAGATCAGCCCAGAGAACATTTGGAGGAAGTGGTGTCGGCGATGAGTTATCCAGCAATATTTTTGCAAGAACTGAGGACCCTTCCCTATCAACAGTACACGCAATATCGACAACTTGATCAAGACCCAAGTGTTGCCAAATTTCACAAACACGTGTGCATTGAAAAAAAATGGTCCATAATGGGCACCCCCTTCTGTTTGAATATGTCGATTTGCCAAGACTCCATGACTAGTGTTCTATAGTACTCCCTTTCTTCAAAAATATAAGATGTTCTAACTTTTTGAGAATCGGATGTATATATACACATTTTAGTTTGTTTATTCACTCATTTCAGTCTGTATGTAGTCCATACTAAAATATCCAACCCATCTTATATTTGTGAATTGTGAATGGAGGGGGTATCTTAAGAACTACAGTTCCGGCAATATTGACATTATGGTGCAAAAGAAGGGTGATATATCAAAACAATGGAGAGCAACTGGTTTCCATGGAGCCCCAAGGGTGGAAGATACAAGCCAAAGTTGGAGGTTCGTGAGGACATTGTTCGCAATCAAGCATGAAGCATGGCTTTGCATTGGTGATTTTATTGAGACACTTTTCGGTTCATAACACTTCTCACGTATCCTCAGACCCAAATGCTAGATGAAAGCATCCTGGGAGATGGTTGATGATTGCTCTTGTGGACCTTGGTTGATTAGGAATGGAGTATACTTGGGACATCAACAGTCAGGTACTTTACCGAAAAAGGGTTTCCCCCGCTTTGTTAAAGCTCGGTTGGATAGAGCGTTTGGATAATGATGCACTGTTGCACCTATTTGAACATATAAAAGTGAGGCATATAGTGGCTGCGGAATGTGATCATTGTTTCGTCTTTGCGGATCTCCGTAAGCATCTACCTTCAAGTGCTGCTAGAGGATCGAAGCCATTAAAATATGAGGATGTTTGGCAGACTCATGTTGACTATGCCAAGTTAGTCCTCTACAAGGGCAGAAGGGAGTAGCGGCCAGCATGGCCTGCAGGGTGTGGTTCAAGCCCTTGATTCACTACAAGGCAACGTAGTGGTATGCGGTGCGAAGGAGTTTGGCTGTTTGGCACGTACGTTGAGGAAGCTACGTGAGTTCTGCAACGTGAGAACCTTACGCGACTACGTGGCCAATCAATGGACAGAGAACCTTTAGATGAAAAGAAAGCGGCCATAAAAAATCGAGACGTGCAATCCGTCGGGATGAGATTTGAAGTTATCAGCGGTCCAGGGTTTCATGGCTGCGAAGGTGACCATAAGACAGGATACTTCCATGCTCAAGCAGCCCAATGAAAATGAATGAACAAGAGTGAGAGGCTCGAACGTGCGGATGGGACTAAATGTGCGAACATCGAAGAGGATCATGCTGAAGTACATGCCTTATATCAAGCCTTGTATACTGATAACTCACAAGCGTAGGGGGTCTATTGTAGCTTTTTTAGTAAGTGAGAGTGTCGAACCTAGCGAGGAGCTAATGGTAGGATTAGTATTCTCTCAAGTTCTATCATCACAGATATAACTATACGCACACCGAACGTTTGCTTACTTAGAAACAAGAAATAAATCTACTTAGCGGGCATGAAAAGATAGCTTTGCAAGATAATAAAGAACGTAAATATAAAAGTTAGTTGATGTTTTGTTATAGAACAATTTTAAAAGAACAATAAAGTAAAAAACTGTCCTTAGGCAAGTGGGTATGAAACTAACGTGATAATCATCTACTGCATTTTCATCTGATTGTTCTTGTACTATCGAGCATGTTTTATGTACAATCAGCTAATATCCACTTATGTACAAAGCTAGCACTCTCGAGGTGAAAGATTGCTGGTTGAACACTAGTAGAAAGCAAGCTAGCACTCTCCGTACGTAATTTTCTAGTTGAACACTAGGTGATAGATCAGCTAATATTTTGTATATGTGGTTTCCTTATAACTAGCCAGCTGGCAGATAATGCCGAGAGAATATCAGGTAGAAACCAACTTACAATAGAAACCAATGAAAACCACATGAAAACTATGTTTTGAAGTCTCGAAAAAAATCTAAAAAAAGTAATATATTTCTAAGAGAGTGATGTTTTACTATCATGTAAAATTCCAAGCTCAAACTCTAATTCATTTACTCCCATAGAATTTTCAGAAACTTTCGAATGTGGCTTCCACATAGTTTCAATTGTAACTTAGTTTCCACATGACATTCTCTAGCACTCTGAAGTCCCAACTTACGTTGTACAGCATGGAATCCCTGGTCATCATTATATGAGCTGAGCAGTACGTAGTACTCCCTCCATTTTCTTATACAAGGCCACTATGAAAAGTATATTTTGCATCAATACAAGGCCACCAATAATAATCGATGCAAAAAATTAATGATGTTTTCTCGTACTAGCAATTTTTTAATACTTGTATACATGTAGTCATAATGACATTCAGCCACTTCCTTCCCATTCATTCGCTGCATACTTGTGGTGCATTAATGATCCTGGTTAACGAAAATAGAAGTTGACTTGCAAAGGAGTCATTAAACTTTATCTTGGTACCTGTAATATGAGTTTGTGACCTTGTATAAGGGAATGAAGGGAGTACTGCTTAGGCTGATCATAGTGGGGAGTAACTTATACTAATGTCATGCATGACACTAGTCTAAGTTACTATCTTCGTAATGCAAAGTAACATACTAGTAGTGTCATATGTGGCTTCATTTAATGGCTTGTAGACTCATCTTGTCTTGGGAAGCGCTATGTTACAGTAACATATTATGTTACCACTTCTCATTAAATACATGTCACATAAGTAAAAAAAATCAAAATATGCTATTTTACTACCTAAGTTACTTCCACTATGACTAGCCTTAACCAAGTTAATTACACAAGAGACACGAGGGGGCGGTCGGGTCTGTTGCGAGAAAAGAGACCGTGGGGAGGAGGGGAGTGGGGCAATCCAACCTTCCTCTCCTCCTCCCTTTGTTGGCCACCGAGCCGGCCCAGGTATCCTCGGCTCCCTTCGCGTGCGGCGGCGCCACCAAATCGCCTCTCGTTTCCGTCGCGGCGGCGCCCGCCCCTCCCGCTTCTCCTTGGCCTGCCGCCGGGATTTCTTTCTTCCTTGGGCTGGCCCTCTCCCGCCTCCCCAGCCCCGCCGCCATCGGAGCGGATGTCAAAGGACAATGTCCCGCAGCCGCAGTACGGCTTGCCTCTTCCCCCTTACCCCTCCTGCTCGTCTCGTCTCGGCTCGAGCCAGCGCCGTCGGCTGCCACAATGAAAGGTTTCTCTTCCACTTGTCCTTGATTTCTTCATCGTGCTAGGTGTTCTGTGCAATCCTTCAAACCCTTGCTTTTGGGATGGAATTGGGACCGGCAAGAAGGACTGATATGCATCCTAATGCTATTTGTGAGGGAATTTAATAAGCAGTTCCCATATCTACTCGAATATATGATTTGTGTATGTGGATTATTCTCTGATCCTTACGTAAATTTTGCTTGTTGCCCTCCCAGCTTGCCGCCGACCACATGTTTCTGTCAGTTCGAAAACCTGACCAAGTTGATTCATGCCGCAATTTTGTCATTTTGTAGGAGTATATCAGTTGTCAACTCATAAATCATCAATCTATTACCTGTTACATACGTCATTCTTCATGATGCATCGCACACCTAAATAAATATGTTAGTTTGCACGCATAGTCACTAGTAGAAAAAGGGCCTATTGTCCCGGTTCGTAAGGGCCTTTTGTCCCGGTTGCTGAACCGGGACTAAAGGGTCGATACTAATACCCTGTCCCTTTAGTCCCGGTTCAATCCAGAAC